TGGGACAGGTCAGGGCTGCTAAACCTCCTACGACACCTGCAACAATCTACAATAACGAATTATGTAGCCCGATGTCAACAGCCCACAGCTGAGAAGCCCCAGCCCAAAGGGACAACGCATCTCAGCAAGACGGCAGAAAAGGCGGCCAAGGCACCACTCTGCCACACACAAGGATCTCCTTCCCTCACCCTACTCCACACAAGCCAAGCAGAAGATAAAGGGCAGAACACTTATGAAGGAAAACTGCAAGGGAAAAAAATCAGACACTGTCTCCAGACACTGAACCTAAGCAGAAAACACCTCTGCGACTTGAAGACTTGGAGGCAGCGCCCCTGGCTGGCCTTCCTGCCCAACTGCCACCCTGACAGGTGCCCGAGCACCCACCCCCGTGCCTGGGGCCATGCCAGCTGCCACTGTGAAAGCACAGTTATCTCAGGTGCATGTCAAGGCATTAAGACCACAATGTGTGAAAGTTTCTTGGGCAGCAAAGTGAAATCAAGTTTTCATTTTACTCTTGAAACTTACCCATATAGGTAGTAAAAAAATGCTAGGAGGTAAAAAGCTAGCTTGCACCATCCTTCTTTCTGACAGTATGCTAGGATGTCTGCGTTCATGATCGTAGTGGGGTCGTAGAGTCCTGGTCCACTCATCACCGGTCTACTCATGTACCTGGAACAGACACGAGCCGTTAACCACGGGGACAGGGCAGCAAACCTGCAAAGCTTCAGGCCAGGATGGGGTCTCCCACACAGACAATGCAGGGACTGGTGGCAGAGAGGGCCACACACCCTCCCGGGCAGGTGGGGTGCTTTCCTTTCATCCTCTTCTAAACTAAAGCTCCTTCAGGGGCAGAACGGGACAGCTAGCCAAACCACTGCTCTCTACATTTTCAGAAACCACCCCAAAATAAGGGTAATTGTGAAAAAGCAATCAGGTTTTATCTTTTAACTTTTAATCCTGTCACCACTTTAGCCTTGAAGTGAAGGTCCCAGAACGCTCCACCCACAAGGTGCAAATGGTCACATTTACAACATTGCTTTCTTTTTCTTGTTTTACTTCTAACCATGAGTACCTTCATTTTCTGAACCACTTTTGAGTCAGATTTGGTATCACTTTATTCCTAAATACTTCTCTACTGTAGATTTCCTAAAATAGAGAGCTATGCAATGCAGTTTTGTTTCTTTTCATTTTGTGTAGGTCTCACTATACAGCTTGAACTCATAGTGATCCTCCTGTTTTCAGCCTCCCCGGTGACAGGTGTGCACCACCACACCTAGACTCGGTCACCAGCTCAGTGTGCCCGGGGCGGGGCCGGCGCAGCATGTGGTGCCAGGATCAAATCCTGGCCTCTATGCTTGCCTAAGCAGGCACTTAGTCCACTGAGCTATCTCAACAACTCTGACAGCGATGTAGTTTTGGGCCTTTTTTCTTTTCTTCCTTTTTTTTTTTTTGAGACAGGGTCTCACTATATAGCCCAGGCTAGCCTCAATCTCACAGTAATCCTCCTGCCTCCACCTCCTAAGTGCTGGAATTATAGGCATGCACCACCATGCTCAAAGGATAGGGCTTTTTAAATAAAATTTAAAACCATACTACAGGGCAGACAGAACTATGTGAAGTTATGACATAGGTTATCGTTTATGAATAACCAAATATTTTCAAAGTCATAAAATAATACATTTTGATGTATGTGAAATTCAGACAGCAAAGCTAATCTAAGTTGCTAAAGGTGAGAATCTCGGGTATAGGTGAAACCTGTGAGGGAAGGGGACCGAAGGCCTCAGAGATGGGCCCCCACTGTGACCCCAGATCAGCTGCACGCTTGAGACTTGTGCCTGCTACTGTAAGTCCATTCTCTTTTATTTTTTTCTAAGATTTATTTTTTATTTTTTTGGCAGAACTAGGGATTGAACTCAGGCCCTTGCGCTTGCCAGGGAAGCGCTTATTCCACTGAGCCATCTCCCCAGCTCCCGTCCATTCTCTTTTAAAAAGTCACTTTAAAAACAGATGAAAACCCTGTAAGATACTGATAAGATTCGTTTAACCATTAGGTTTTTTAAAAAATACTAACGAATGATGAATATTCCTATAGGTGAATGGCATGTAAGATAACCACGCTGACAACAGTGTAATGAAAACTGCACTTTCTAGGTGTCTCTAAGTATTACCTCCAAATATGGTACGCCAAGAGGGGCATATTGAGACCCAGCGTGAGCCACTCTGCTGCACAGAGAAACATGACACAGAAGAACGCATGGATGAGATACTCGGGGAGGACCAGCTGGAAGGGAAACACAGGGCCATTAGCATGCCGCCGCCACAGGAAGTCAGCTCTACTGGGGGGCAGGCACATCCACAATGGAAAACATCTTTTTTTGAAAATCACTCTTTTCTTAGAATTGTAAGTGAAAGATGCTACTGAGTTTTACTTTCATGTTTAGCTTTTTCCCAAAAGCACAATGAAAAGCACGCTGATGAAAGCTTGCACTGAGAGAGTAATAAGAATAACTTCAAATGTAAAACTCAAATTCTTAGAGCAATGAGCCAATTATGCAGGTTACCACCCAGACTTTGCAGTTGTTTGTTAATCAACTGGAATACTTTTATTTCTATTATTCAACAATAACAAAAATACAAAAATGAGGTATCTGATAACATGCAACATGATTTAAAAAAAAAATCCACAAAAACAGAACTCTCCTTTAGGAGTTTATACATTAGTGTTTGTAAGCCTTTAGCCAATACCAGAATGCTACATATACAATACTTAACAATCACATCACATTGCCACAGAAGTAAGTTTTCAATGGAAAGCCAACCAGCCATACTCTCAGCACAGTGGGGGTAGGGGACACTAATTGCACAAATGCAAACAGTGTGCTTTCTGCAATGTAGGAGGGAAAAAACGATTCATCACCATGCAATTAGAATTTTCCAGGTTTCTGCATTCGCAATCTTACATGGCCTTTCAGCTCCTTTCTGCCTGCTTGCCAATGAAATATTACAAGGCCGAGGGCCAGGAGAAGCTCAGAAAGAAAATAAACCATCTGACAGACAGTTGAGGAAAATTAATTCAGGCAAAAAGCTATTTATAAAATGACCAAGATTTAAAATCTTCACACTTAAGATTCAGCCTAATGCCTTTGTTAAATAAAAATACCATAACCTTTCAATGCATGTTTCAGCCAAAAAATGTTCTGCAAGTCATAGCAAAGCCAGGTTTTCAAATGTTTCCTTCATACTAAGTTAAAATCAAATGAATCCTCAATATCATCAGATCTCTCCAGAGGGGAAACCACCGGTGCAGAAATAATATAATATGCTGTATATTCAAGCCCATTTTCTAATATGACACCAAACTTTTCTGCAGTTGAACACTATAAACTTTTTAATAGTGTTAAATAAAATCCTACTTGTCTAGATCACCAAGTGATCTATGCCACTAACCATACTTTCTGCAAACTTAGGCAATATTATTAAATAGCAAGATAAACTCTGCGTGTGTGTGTAATTTGTAAGCCAGCTTAAAGAGTTTTCTACACAACAAAATATCCACAGAACCTTTCTGAAACTCAATGATTACAAGAAAAACAGAACTCCTTTAGAGTTGTAATACTAGTTTAAGCTATGGTTATTTGTTTTTTAAGATGCAGTAAGCCCCCTTCAGTTCTCAGAATCCAACTACTGATAGCTAACACGACAAATTATCTAACCATCTTGTGCCCTACTCTTACACACAGAGGCATGGAGTATTACTCTGAAATCAGCATGACTCCCATTGCCCCTAAACAATCAGATACATCTTAACAAAAGTGTTAATAAAAAGTCTGCACCTCTACCAGTTCTAATAAAATCTCACACTGCCCACAATCTCAAGAAGATCTCATAAAATTAATCTTTACCATTCTTCAGTGATGGCATTTGCCCTAAGCACCACAAGTATTCTATTTAGTTCACACCAAAACTAGTATCCAGAAAAAATTCTCCTTAGGGAAAGATGGCTGAAATGATAGTGTTTAAACATGTAAGACATAACGTTCTCTTGTTCTGGTTCATAGTTGAAAAATTAGTATCTCTCTTCCCCCATACTTTGGCAGAACCATCAGAACAAACAAATAGGGAAAACTGTCAGATGCTCTGCTGTTCAGCCGAGGACCGGCACCCCACCTCACCCTGTCCGGGACACAACTCTGCCGCTATACATGCATCCTACAGCTACCCTCGCAGCAGATGTCCCAAACACCATCTGTTCTCAGTGACGCTCTCCATGAAAAAGCCAGAAGTCACACATTAGATATTATACAATGCAAATTTCCCTCTTACACTTATAGTAACTTAGGAAAACACAAGAGTATGAGTTTCAGAACATCAAGCTGCTTGGGTTCAAATTCTGGTCTCTACCTTAGCTGTAAAACTTTGGACAACATGCTTCAACCTCACAAGTAACCTGGTTGACTGTCCCATTGATGACATGACCGTCACCTACCTCTGAGGACTGTCATGAGAACTGAATGAGAAAACATCCCGCGAAAGTGCAGATGGCACAGAGCCTGGCACCCAGGAGAGCATTCGCTTGATTTCGGCTGCTCTTAGCTCATCATCCTGGGTTATTCAAAGGAATGAAAAGCCCAAGAGCACAGAATACTATTCAAAACAAAAGGTGCCATCTCAGTTTCTTAAGTATCTTAGTAATGGTAGTTTCATCTGCTAAAGTGAAGCTGTTTAAGCAGGCACACTTGTTACTTTCTAACCAGAAGGCAGAGTCATCTTTTCAAGTTCTACTTTCTAAGAAGAAACAGCAATTAAGTTACAACTTTGTCTTGTACCTACCTTAAGTTTCTGTAACTGTTCTCTAAGGACAAACTGCTACTCTTTAGCAGCAAACCCACTTTATAAGTGCTTTCCCAAAGATCCTCCAGCACACTAGTACCTTACAATTTTATATCACCAAAGTCTACACAAATTCTCACTTTCATCAGGTAATTTTTAAGATGAATTAATATTTTCTATTGAAGACATAGTCACTGCCTTCTTAAGAGCTTTTAACAGTTTCTGACCAAGCAGGCAAAATTAAACCTATAGACTCAAGGAAAAGCTTCCTAAACAAAGAAAAAGAAAGCAAAGCTAGATCATCACCAACTCCATCACACCTCAGAACTTAGGGCAGTGTATCCGTCTACCTACGAAATTTAGACTAGACAGAATGCACCAGAAATAGATTTATACACAAATTGTTACTGTAAAATTCTGGCATCTTTAGTCCAAAGGACACCATTACAAGGCTCCATGTCCCAAGAAAATAGCTATCTAACGGCTCTGAGTAAACACCGGTGACTTATTCTAGAATACACATAGCTGAGACAAAACGAGGCATGACGGGAGTCTAAGCTGCAGACTACATCGCAGGCTGAGACTAACTTCTCCATCTATAGTTCATGTACATTAGCAAACTTTCAAAAACTGTACCGAATAACTTAATATACATGTGCCTTGGGCTATAACATAAAAAATGCATAAGCATTTAACAGCTTTCCCTACTTGTCTGAGCCAGCAAGCAAACATTTGCATAAAATAGGAAGTTTCATGAAATCATAAACCTCAACAGGCATATGAACAAGCACACTGAACAGAACAGTATGAATACAAAAACCCTAACCCTCCCCATGAAATGAGCGTAGCATTAAAACATCAAGCTAAAAAGCAGTACACACCTTTAGTGCAATTTTGACTCTTTTAATCTTTTTGACCTTTTCAACTGTCTTTGGCCGACAATGTAAAAAGCAGATTGGAAGAATGTTAGTATTGACAGCTGACAAGATCACCAGTAGATTAATAAGTCAGACTAGTCAAGCATGACAGAGAAAAAATACTATTTTTCATTCTGCCTACTTCAAAACATAGAAATATATCATGCCACTGAGAATTTTGGCCATTTTCAAATTGTATCAAGTTAAAATTTTAACATTTAAAATTCTAAAGTTAAATCGTATATTGTAACTTACAGGATTCAGGGTATTACACTGGTCTATAGGATTCTTGTAATCAGTCTTCAACTCATCAAACGCTATAATCTAAAATAAAATTAGAACAGTTAGGACCACTCATTGGAGTACAGAGCAGCAACAAACCTGCCCCGTCACCAAATAATTACTGAATACAGCAAATGTGTGCCAATATCACAGGTACCAATTAACAATAAAGTCACATGTTAAAAAATAGTAAGAACCAGAATGGGGGAGATAGCTCAGTGGTCTAAGAGCCTGCCTGGCAAGTGCAAGGTCCTGGGTTCGATCCCTGGTACCACATGCCACACTGGCCCCTGAAACCAGGCGTGGTGGCGCATGCCTGTAATCCCAACACTGAGGAGGCTGAGACAAGAGGATCACCATGAGTTCGAACTGCATAGTGAGACCCTGCACCAAATACACAAAGAAAGAAAGGAAGGAAGACAGAAAGAAAGAACAAATGAAGGAACACCGGATTTAAAAATCTCAAGACACACTTTATGTCGTTAGTACTGAAGCGATCTGATCCCACAGTGATGCCTTCCCTTTTCAGTTTCTTCAGGGTCTCTCCCTTAAGGTATTGTCTGTACTTGAAATGACCTTCCCACCTTCTCCGCTATTCACTCAAACTCCTCATCCGAGAGCCTCTCTTCCCGCGGGGGTTCCTCTCTGGGGTTTCCTGACTCCAGGCACCAGATCAGCCACAAGCCTATCTGCATCCCCACACCCACCACACTGCCGACTTGGCATTTCTCGTGCTGAGTCCCCAGGGCCGTGAGCTCCTCAGAAGAAGGACTGTTTTTAATTATCTGTGTGCCTCCCCCTTGGCACAGTGTCCAAGCGACACTAGTGATGGAATCAAATGGTCTGACTTTTTCCCATCTGCGCCCACAAACATACACATTTCTAGGAATGGTCTTATGCACAACAGAGAAGAAAATGACTTTGTTTAACCTTAAGGGCCACTAAAACACCGAACTTCAAAGTCAAAATTACTAAAAATCAAAGCAGGGGCTGCACACCACACGTTGTGGCATTAACTCAGGTGTCAAAGCGACAGATTTACAGGGCAGCTATTTTAGTTGCTGGCAACAATCACCCAGGGAACTCTGAATCCTAAGTTTCCCCAGGAAGCTGGGAACAGTGTCTTCCGTTGTTTGATAGTGTTACTTTATACTATAAGTGATCAGCAGAATCACATGTTGCTGGCTTCCAATATGGCTATTTGTTATTAAGATATTTTGTAAAAATATATTTTTTAATTTCTAGAATTTTGTAAAATTCTCCAACCTACTACAATAAAAACTCCAACCACATAGTGATAAAAGGAAAATAATTAAACATTAAAAGCTCATCTTCAGGAGAGTAAAGATATATGCTCCTATACCCCAGCGCTTGGTAAGTGTCCCTGGTACAAGCTAGGCAACTGGCTAGAAAGGAATAAAAAACAGAAAATAAATAAACACTAAGCTAACAATAAAAATAAAGGGCACAGGGTGCACCAAAAGGGATTTCCTAACTGACCACATGCCATTAGCAGTGGTCCAGCATTTCAGTAAGAGAAGTTCAAGACAGGACAATAATCACAATAAATACAATGGCATGCTTATAATAAGATTTAATAGCAAAATGAATATAAAACTTTATCTTTAATTATCGATCTATTTTTTGGTACCAGGGATTCAACTTGGGACCTTGTGCTTGCCAGGCAGGCACTTATGCCACTGAGCTATCTCCTAGGCAAAACTTTAAAACTTTCTGATTGGACATTTTAAGTGACCTCCAGGGGCTTTTTTTAGTAAGCCGCTGAACAGCTAGATTTCTAACCAAGTGCTATAAAACTAGTTTCCAAAACTTGAGAAGACTCTTAACCTGGTGGTTTTCACTCCTTTACAGCTCAACAAAAACATTCATTACATTTTTGACAGACATAAAAGACAGATAAATCCCGGAGATCCCCACGTGCACAATTCAATGAGGAATTCCTGCAAGAAATGACTTCTGAATTTATTGCTTTTAAATCATCTCCGTTCTCAATTTTATTTTGCACAGTGTATCATTTACAGGATTAGGACCTACCTGACAAATGAAACTATCACCATAAAACATCTTCCAGAACAACAACGAATGTAAAAAGAAAGTTTGATATTTATGCTTTAAATTTTCAAGTGAGTTTTACCTTACAAAATAAACTGAAGGTTCTGTGGGTAATAAAAACATGAAAACTATAGATTTATCTAAAACTGTTTCCCAAAGAATGCAGTAATTCTCTGAACAAAAAAATATCTAAGCTCTCCACCTATCTGTGGTACTTTATCTTTTAAACCTTAAATTATATCACTCGTTTTTCAGAAGTGCGATTCAGATTTTTCTCGGTTTAAAAGTAAAAATGTGGGAAAGGCTCCCCCTACAACGCTGTTCCCTGACTCTCCAGCACCGCGGAAGGCCAATGTTGAGGCGAAGGCTGGGTGGGCTATTATGCGTCTCACATTATCTTATTGTTGTTTCGCAAAGGAAAGCCTAACGGAGCCGTCAAGTTTCCGGTTCCTAAGGACAAGCATCTTGAGACAGCAGTTATGTCTGACACAGTGAACACTCTACGCTTGTACTCCCTGCTACACAAGCAGGCAGGCTCTGAAGTAATCACGCACTGTTTAGCGAAAGGGAGTGGATTGGTGATGCCACTGGGCGCGATACCGGTACTACTCTACCCCTCAAAGCTCTCTAAGAAACCGGTTATGATCACCACGACACCGGACTTAAAATTGCTATCAGCGAACATACTCAATCATTCAAATTCACACCAACATTCCAGAACGCACTGCACTACGAGGGATCTGGAAGTAAATATTTAGCTTTAATGAATCGCTGACATACAGAGAGCTCTCAAGGATTCGAAATTTTGTACTAGAGAAACAAAAAGCCCTAAAATAACTCTTCTCTGGGCAGTGGGCAGGGCGTGGTGGCCTACGCTTGCAAGTACACATGATGCTGAGGCAGAAGGTTTACAAGTTCGAGGCCGTCCTGGGCAAATTAGGAAGACTGCGTCTCAAAATAAAAATAATAAAAATTTAAAAAATAAAAGAAGGTTTGGGAACGGAGCACAACGGGAGGGCTCCCTGCACCGGGCCCCCGGGGCCAACGAGGACAAGTCGCTTGCACATCATAGAGAAGGATGCGCCTCTACCCCGCTGCACAGCAACAAAACCGCCCTGGAGAAGAAAAGATTTCTGAGCATTCTCGAAATCATATTAAAACTCTCTCCACTCCATCAAGCTACCCTGATTATTGACTAAGGCGCCTCGGAAGACTGCCGGGAAACTCCGCGATCCCAGTGTGATCGAGGCCGGGGAGGAAGCGACCGATCCTCCCTGCATCAAAGTTCACCCGGAATACAGGAACCCGAGAGGGACAAAAACCGAGATTGGAGATTCTGAGAAGCAGAGTTGGAAACTGAGCTAAAGTCGGTCCTAACTACCTCAGCTGGGCCGTGCGCCCGCGGAAACCCCAGAGGAAAGGCCACCCCGAGGGCCACGCGACGCGGGGCTCGGGGTCCCGGGGGCCCCCCGCGAGGAAGCCGCGCGGCCTGCGCGGCCCGGAGCCCCGGCCCCTCCCCGCGCCTCCGGCGGAGCCTGGTCCCGGCCCCGGCTACTCACGTGCCAGATGGCGAAGAAGATGAGCGCGGCGGTGAGCAGGAGCGCCAGCATGTAGCAGAAGGCCGCGAACGTGAACGCCATGGCTGGGGTGGAGCGGCTGGCGGCGGCGCGGCTGCCGGCGGAGAGAGGCGACGCGGGGCCCGCTGGGTAAAACCATTCGCTTCCCCCGGCCGCGGCCACGACCGCCGCCGCGGCGCCCGCCCCGCAGCGCTCCATTTGATTAGCGCCCGCGCCGGCGCCCCCTGACGGCCGGAGTCTGCGTTGCACTGGTGTCCTCTGCAACGTTGGTTCATTGATTACTGGTCCTTCTCTCCGTTCTTTGAACAAGTGGCTACTAAATGCGTACTTTGTTCCAGGTACTTTGCGTCTCCCTTGGTACAACAAAATATGGACTATAGTACTTGTATTGAAAGAAAATAACATAATGCAGGGAAGGAACAACCCTGTAAACAGATGCTAATGGGATGCTGATCCAAAGCACTTAGGTAGGATTCCTGGAGCACATGTTTACTAAACTGAGGCTTCATGATCGGTAGAAATCGTCCAAGCAGAGAAAACTGAAATCAGCGGTGCAAAAAGATTAAGAGTGAGCAAGCGCACTGAGATGGGAAAGAAAAATGCAAAAGAAAAAGCTTGGTTGTTTGGGAGAATGGATCAACAGTTCTGTATTAGTGGAACTGTAAGTGCAAGATAGAATGGAGAGAAAAGGCCACCTAGTGGTCGCCCTAGAGGAGACCACGTCTATCTAGCTAAGGAGTTCAACCCAAGTTTTTTAATGTGCTTTGCTCAACGTGTACAAGTAGAAATATTATTCCAGTGCAGCCCAGTGACATGATAAAGATGTAAATTATTGGGAGTGGACAGAGAAACAAAGATTAAAACCCAATTTTCCATAAAACCACTAAACACCCCTACATTCTTCCTTTTTTCTGGTTGGTTGGTTGGTTGGTTGGTTGGTTGTTTCAGGGCCACCCTATACAGTCCAGACTGGCTTCCAGCTGTGCGATCCTCTTGCCTCGGCCTCCCTCCAGAGTGTGTGCCATCTGATCTGTCTTTATTTTGTTTTTAATACTGATTGCAACCCACAAAATTGATTCATTACCTGCTAACTGCTGCTTGGGGAAGTGAAAATTAGTCAAGGCTGTTAAGCAAGTGACCGCATGTTTAGATTTGCATTAAAAAGCACTCACTCTCACAAATCGTGAGGATGGTTTGCAAGAAGGTTCTATCCTGTGCTGGCCAACAGTTTTCTGCAGTAGTGTAGTTTGCTATACCGGCACTGTCCACTACGATAGCCACCGGCTCCTTGTAGCTACAGAGCACTTGCAGTGTGGCTACTGTGAAATCAAACTTTAAATTTTACATCATCTCCCTTTGTTACAATTTAAATAAGCATGTGTGGCTAGAGGCTACCACAGGGGACCACGCAGGCCTGTACCACCAGGATTATGTGGCATCTTTGGGCAAATTACAAAGGTACTTTCTCCAGACATATGGACTGAGGCCAAAGCTGGGGAAGAGGAATGCGGGCTGTGTTTCAGCCCCACTAACCTGCTTCTCAGGGACCCGTGTGCAGGACACAAAATGTTCAGCTGCGCACAACCTTGATCAGAGACATGCTCGAGTGGGAAGGAGGTCACAACAACGATCCAGGCAAAGTTGCTGCAAATCCAAACTAAAGCACCAGAAGATATGATGAAAAAGAACCCGACAGCGTGTGAGAAACAGCTCAGCAGGCCTGGAATAGCTCCGCGTGCAGTGAGAGAAAGAAAAGAGAAAAGGTGGCTTAGGCAACACTTCCAGTCACAGAGAAGGAGCAGAGGCCAGCGCGGGTAGTGTCTGTGCAGAAGAATTCACAGTCTGCTAAAGCAGAGGACATTCCCTGAGCCCAGGGGAAAGAGTCTGTGGGGAATCGTTCCCAGAAAAACTGTAAGATGCAGGCCCCTTCTAAGTGCATCTGTCTACACCTTGGGAAGCACGCTTTCACCTCTGAATGCCAAAAGAGCCTACCTCCTGGCAGCTAGCTCTCCTTGAGCAGCACTTGAGATGACCTCCCTCAGCTGGCACCCATCTTGGCAAGTGAAACGCAGAGGGCTCACACAGTGACAGACGCAGGGCGTCGCCCAGCCCCCTCCGCGGGCTGCGGTGGTGCACACAAGACCTGTGCTGTCTGCCGCAGGAGACAAAGGCATGGGTGGCTGTTTCCACATAAATTAGATTTAAAGATCAGCTTCTCGGCCATACTGGCATATTTCCGGTGCGCAGGAGCCTTCCGACTCAGGGTCGCTGTAGTAGATGGCGTCGATACTTCCATGGTCACAGAAAGCCTCCCTGGACAGTGCCGCTCTAGGCAACATCACACAGCCACAGTCTGTTAGAAAATGCACTCAATTTCACGGGGCCAAGGGCCAATGAAATCAAGTAACCAGCACTAACTAAATCACCATGGTGGCACACGCCTGTAATCCTAGCTACTCAGGAGGTTGAGGCAGGAAGATCACAAGTTGGAGGCCAGCTTGAGCAAAATGCTGTCACAATTTTTTTTTGTAATTTTTTATAGTTTTTTTTTTTGTTTTGTTTTGTTTTGTTTTTTAATTTGTGCAGGGTCTCACTATGCTGCTCGGACTTGTAGTGATCCTCCTGTTTTCAGCCTCCCTAGTGCTGGGATTACATACCTCTCTCTCCATCACCGGCTCAGCGTGCCCTGGGGGCAAAGCCCATGTAGCATGCGCTGCCAGGGATTGAACTCTGGTGCCTGCACTTATCTAAGCAAGTGCTTAGTCCGCTGAGCTATTTTGCCGGCCTTTATTTTTTTTATTTTATTTTATTTTTTGTAAAGGGCTGGGGTATAGCTCAGTAGTAGAATTCTTGCCTCGTATGTGTGGGTTCAATCTCAGGTACTGCAATACTGTATGGATTAACTGAAATGAGATAAATAAATACATCAAATATCAAGGCAGGAGATGAGAAAAATAATAGGCTTACTTGACATTTTGGAGGACCATAAGCAAGCCCCCTCCAAATCCTCCTCCTGGTTTTGAACACACTTATCCCATAGGCCTTGGCACTTGCTGAAGCAGTTCTGGAAATCCTCTCTCCTGAATGTCTACTTGAGCTGTCATGGCTACCTCCGTGTTCTGGATGGATTAAAAACATTTACCTTTCATGGTCATTTTGACTGTGAGGAAGAGCAAGGAGTCAGCCACCTGGTTACAGCCCTGGTGAGGGGGGTAGCTGAGGAGACGGCCTAATGTTTCTACAGGCTTGCCTTTTTTGTTGGATGTTGCTCAGGGAGAACATTCATAGTAATTTTGATCATATCCTTTGGAGACCCAAAAAGAGGACTTGCAGAGTGACTTCAGACAGCATCAAGAATGATGGAATAAATGTGTTGGCAGGACAGGAGACTGTTTTGAGGGAATCGCTAGCAATGTGTCTTTTTCTCTAATACATTTTTATTTTATTTATTTTTTTTTTAGAATTTAAGATCTTTTTTTTTTAATATAACTATTTATTTATTTATTTATTTAGTGTGTGTGTGGCCAGTTCAGCCCACCAGGGGGAGGGTCTGGCTGGCATGTGGTGCTGGGGATTGAACCGCAGTCTCTGCTTTTGTTTAGCTTAGCTTGTTCTAAGGAGGTGCTTTAGACCACTGAGCCATCTCACCAGCCTTTCTAATACATTTTTAAATGTAAGCATTCACCATACATCTTGATCACACCTCACGTAAGAGGCATGCAAAGCCTTCTGCAAACCTGAACACGGACATAATCAGAACCTAAAAGCACCACTTAAACAGAAGAAACAGGCCACCACCTAAACTGTTTCCCTAGCCACACAGGCTGGGCCACCACCATTCCTGACAGAACACTGTAAGAAGCAGACACTGGCCATGGACTGTTGGAAGGAAGGACACCAGCCAAGGGCCCCAAGGCCACCACTCAGCCACAAACCACAGCCCTGCCACACCTAGTGCTGCAGAGACCCTGAGGAAGGAGCGCTACCTCTCAAAGGCTGATTCATTGTCAGAAAAACTGTGGCTGATGATGACACCAACATCATAATGTTGTCCTGAGGATTCCAGGAGAAGGAGAGCACTCGGTGTAGACAAATAGAACTGACCATAATCTCTGCCGATGGGGGCTGGGGAGATAGCTCAGTGGAATAAGTGCTTGCCTGGCAAACACAAGGTCCTGAGTTTGATCCATGGTACCACCAAAAAAAAAAAAAAAAAATCTCTGCTGAGAGAAGGCAGCAGACTCACTGTGCTTGACAAAACAGTGCAGAAGGAAAGGGCAGAGGTGAGATGCAGGCCCCAAGTGGGAAATTCAGTGTCTAAGGGAAAGTCACTTATCCACATCCAGGAGGACGTCCAAGAACATGTTCAGACCTTGACTGGATTGAAGGGAAGTTGATTATGCCCAACAGGCTCTCCGAACTCCTCTTCTTAGGAAAACCAACCACACAACTACGACATTCTCACAGCCAACTGAACTCAGGCTGAGGCTGGGCCCACGCACTAAGCTCCATGTGCTCAGGACCCAAGGCGGTGGCAGCAACGGCGGCAGCTCTCCTGCTGATGCAGCTTTGAAAACTACCAGGACATCCACCAATAAGGAAATGGTTAAGTACACCACGATATATGCACTGGAAATGTCATTAAACTACTCCTTCGTGGGTTTGTTTTTTTAATGGAGGATGTTTAAGTAATGTTACTCACGAGATGAAGTTGGATAAATGCCATAGACAATATGTTTATGAAGCACATGGAACAGAGATTGAAAGGAGACTAACAGATATGAAAGTGTTACCAGTGATTATTCTACAGGTTAAAAGAATAATTCCTCCTATTTCTGCATTTCTCTATATTTACCACTTTTCTTACAGTGACAAGTATACTTTAAAATAACTTTTTAGAAAATATATATATTTTTAAAGGACAGAAAAGACCTAGGTAATTTGACTTTGGCCTTAAACCAGAGTTTATGTGGAAGGCACTCTGAGGTTATTATCAAATATTTATTCTTTAAAAGGGCACAAATGTTTAAACAAGTGATAAAATTGCTGTTACTCTGGAACAAATGCTCAGCAAAAGGCCCACGTTCTTCAATCACGGAATCGCCACTTCATTCTAAGGAATGTGTCATTTGTGAACGGCAGCTCTTTTCTATACTGTAGTCATGTAATTCAAACAATTAATTTAAGTTTAGTTT